TTTAGTAGAGACAGGGTTTCACCATGTTGACCAGGATGGTCTCGATCTCTTGACCTCGTGATCCACCCGCCTCGGCCTCCCAAAGTGCTGGGATTACAGGCTTGAGCCACCGCGCCCGGCGCTTCAATTTATTTTTATATTATTTAACATGTTTTTACCTGCAGTTGTGTATGTGAATTTACCTTGGTAATTGAGATGTCATGCATGCTAAGGACCAATAAACTATCACTGAACAAAAAAAAAAAAAAAAAAAGAGTACTACCTTCTAGTACTCTGATGTCATTCAAGTTCCACCATTATCTCAGTCATTCTTTAGAGCAAAAAGATTCAGATTAGAACTATACATTTAGTTCTGATTTAGTTTTTACCTATTTTTAATTTCCATCCATCTGGAACAGTTCCTTAGTCTTCCCCTTGAATTGCATTGACCTTGACACTTTTGGGGATTATAGTCCAGTTTTTTTTGTAGCTTGTCTTTGGGTATTTTGTAACATGTCTTTGAGAGAAACCAATTTGGGTTTCTCTCTTTCTTTATGAATATATTTCAGTTATGCATCTTTAACAGGAATATCACAGAATCAATGTTATAATCTTTTTCATCCTATCATGTGGCCCATGATTTCAATTTATCCTTGGTGATATTAACTTTGGACATTTGACTAACATGGTATCTATCTGACTTATCCATTCAAAAGTTACTATTTTCCTTTTTATAACTAATAAGTCTTTTGCGAAGTGATATTTTGAGTCTATGAAATATCCCATTTCTCATCATTCACTTTAACAATTTATATCAATATATACTAATGGTTTTCTATTCAATGGGTTATAATTTGTTACTACCATTTTTGATTTTCCAGCTACCCCATATTTGGCCAATAGGAACCCTTACAAGCTGGTTTCTGTGTCTTTTTGACCTGTCTCTATTACTCCTTGAATAATTCCTGGCTTGAATAATCCACTTTTCCTGCTCTAGCCCTAGAATCAGCCATTTTACAAGAAACTCTGGTTTCTTTCAGTGTGGAATCGTATTGAGAAGCCAGGATCTGGGCATTAGACGTGCTCATAACTATTAGGGTGTTGCCCTAAGAGTAGACGGTGCTAGTAAATAAATGAATATATGTATTTATATACATAATCTGTATTATTTATAGTTCTGTGTATCTCTATATATTATAAAATAAAGATTCATTATAATTTCTTCAATACCAATTTAATACCACAGGGAATGTTCTAGCTTTCTCACTTTCTGTATTTATAACTCCATTCTATGATGGAGAAATTCCTAGCTCCTATTGTTTTTAATATATTTATTAATTTTTGACCACTACTCCTGTCACCAAAATCTCATCACTGCTACTGCCTGCATATTCCTATACAGATAACCCTCCTCACATTAATTTGGGCACTGACACCCTGAGCCACAACCCCTTCCCCTTACCATGTGGAAGCCTTTCTCAACCAACTGGGTTCCTTTTTTTTTTTTTTTTGAGACAGAGCCTCCCTCTGTTGCCTAGGCTTGAGTGTAATGGCATGATCTCTGCTCACTGCAACCTCTGCCCCTTGGGTTCAAACAACTCTCCTGCCTCATCCTCCCCAGTAGCTGAGAGTACAGGCTTGTGCTACCACGTACCATGCCCGGCGAATTTTTGTGTTTTCAGTAGAAACAGGGTTTCACTGTGTTGGTCAGGCTGGTCTCAAACTCCTGACCTCAAGTGATGTGCCTGCCTCAGCCTCCCAAAATGAGCGTGAGCCACTGCACCTGGCCCAACTGGTTTCTGACACCTTGTACCAGACTGACCTCCCTTTGGGGATACACCTCATGCTGCTTGAGCTCTAAAACCCTGTTCTAGGCCACTGTGGCTTCCGCTGCCTCCTACACAGATGCTATCTCACTCATTTCTTCCTCATGGCTTTTCGACTGAACTTTATAGGAAAGAGAAGAGAAATCCCACCTCCCCTCACTTACTTAAATTCTGCAGTACTTTAAGGCCAAGTTCTTCAACTTCTGGAATCTGTCTCCCACTTCTTACGGAAATGATTTCTCCTTTCTGGAAACTTACGCTGTATTTTTTTGTTCTGTAATCATCTCATGTCGGCTTGTATATCCTACTGACTCCATGTCACACTTTGCGATCAGGGGCTATTTTCTGTAATTTTTTTTCCCTTTAGTAGCCTTTAAGAAGTTTTTTTTTTTTTTAAGTGACAAATGCAAAGGCAGATACCAAAAAAACCTACTAGTTGATTTATGGTGAAGGGGTTTTTTTGTTTTTAAATACAAAATTTGATCATTGGACTCTGCTTTATTATAGATCAACTACTCTTTTATAGTTGAATGATAGTAAAGTCAAGGAATTTAAGTGGAAAACATTTGACTTCTAAGAAAGAGAACCTTGTTCCTTTGATTTTACATTAATTTGTATATGCAGAAAACAGTAAATGTATGTTAAATTTTAATGCCCTATTATTTTTCTGGATTTATGCAAATTTTTCGTTATTATAGGCAGTCCCTGCTTTACATAATTTCCATATTCATAAATCTCAGTAACAATGTTTCAGTTAAATAACATCAGTCCCCAACAACTCAGTTCAAATTAATTTAGTACAGTATAACAACTTTCAGTAATTGTATAAAGTACAAACTTTGCTGTTAGCTCCTCAGTCCATAAATCGCTCCGTAAAAACATATGTGCGTCATGATCATGACCAATCACATCACTTTTTTTTATAGTCTGTTGGTGATTGGTATATCTGTCATTCAGTTCACACACAGACAGCAAAGCATGTTTCTTCCTTGTCTCCCACTGATAACCTATGTGATATTTTACAAAATTGATATTCAAAAGGAAATTGACCAAACAAGATGAAATCGCAGCCAAGAAACAAAAAGTGAAAATGCTGAACTGAAATTTCAATCAAGTGTAAATGGAGTATAGACGAAATCGCTGATTTGGGAATGTTGATACTGCTATTGAACTGCCGCCATTTGAGAGACTACAGATATACATCCAGAAGAGGCTAGGGAGGGTGAACTTATCAATATAAATAAAGAAAATGAGGAGGTTGTGGTGAAAAGATGAAGCCGTTTCAGGGAAACTGACCCTGGCAAAAAGTTCACATTAAAGGAACCCTTGGAGATATATCATGACATTGGAAATGTAAAGAATAAAATGTTAGAAACTAATCCAGACTTAGAAAAGTGTATGACAATTTATCAAGGTATGGAAAGATGCTCACTGCATATTATATGATGAGAAGTTATATCAGAAGACTACCCCTGTTTTTTCAAACAAAACAAAACAAAACACTGTATCAGTCTTTCTAATGTTTTAAATTACAGTATACTAAGTAAACATCAGTTTTACTATTTTCTTTTTTGTTTATTTGTTTTTCTGAGACGGAGTCTTGCAGTGTTGCCCAGACTGGAGTAGAGTGCAGTGGCGTGATCTCAGCTCACTGCAACCTCCACTTCCCAGGTTCAAGTGATTCTCCTGCCTCAGTCTCCCGAGTAACTGGGATTACAGGTGCCTACCACCACACCTGGCTACTTTTTTGTATTTTTAGTAGAGATGGGATTTTACTGTCTTGGCCAGGTTGGTATCGAACGCCTGACCTCATGATCCGCCTGCCTCGGCCTCCCAAAGTGCTGGGATTACAGGCGTGAGCCACTGTGTGTGTGGCTAGTTTTACTATTTTCAGAATTGTCCTTTATGTTTATACCTATTGTGAGAGAGTTTTTCATGTTTTGACAAAAAAATTTGAAAGGTTACAGAATAATTGCAACTTTTCCCATTGGTTACTAAAACTGCTTTGTACAGTTTAAACTTGACTTATATGGCCCCACCTACTGTGTAAAGCAAAGACTGCCTGTATACTAGCATGTGGCACTTCTAAGTTATACATATATTTTAAAATGTGTGTATATTTTATTTATTTTGTTGTGTGAATATATTTTGATTTTAAAATATTTTTAGCATGCAGATATCCCCAACCTGAGATTGCCATTGTGAAACGTGCAAAGGAAGTATCCTCAGCAGAGACCCCTGATAGTTTTGGTATAGTACAATCTTACAGTGTTGATTGTTTGCCAGATGTTTATTTTAATTAGTAAAGCATCTATTTGATGGAGCTTCCTGCTTGCTTGAAATAGAATGCCTAAATTTTTTCTGTTTGCATTAGTGTTTTTGACTGTCTGTATGATGGAACAATAATTGCATGCTTGACTAACTGAAGGATTAAATTCATGACCTTAAGAAAAGGCAAAATCACTTATATTTAATGATATTTAAATAGAATATTTAAAAATTGTTGAAATAACCATAGCAAGTGAAACTTCAGAAGCAACAAAGTCTATGAATTCTTTAGGACAAATGAGTAGGAAAAAAGGACCTCATGCAGGGAAATCTTCAGAATATTGCAAACAGAGACTGCATTTAAGTACAGTAACTACAGTAAATGTAGAGTGTTTTTAAAATATGTTTTTGAATAGTTTGATAACCTTAAATAAGTTCATATTAAGGTCATTCATGAAAGTGTTTTAGATTCAGCCACCATTCAGCTTGATGTCTAACTCAGGTTACATGCTTTGGTGGTGGTAGAAGAGTGTGTGTGTGTGTGTGTGTGTGTGTGTGTGTGTGAGAGAGAGAGAGAGAGAGAGAGAGAAAGAATGAGAGAGAGTGAGAGAGTGAGTAGAAGTATGTTATGAAAGAGGGAGGGGGGAGAGAGAGAAAGAGTAAAACAAATCTCTCTCTGTCCCTGTTTTATTTATTTATTTATTTATTTATTTATTTATTTGAGACGGAATTTCGCTCTTGTTACCCAGGCTGGAGTGCAATGGTGCGATCTCGGCTCATCGCAACCTCCACCTCCACCTCCTGGGTTCAGGCAATTCTCCTGCCTCAGCCTCCTAAGCAGCTGGGATTAAAGGCACGCGCCACCATGCCTAGCTAATTTTGTATTTTTAGTAGAGACGGGGTTTCACCATGTTGACCAGGATGGTCTCGATCTCTTGACCTCGTGATCCACCCGCCTGGGCCTCCCAAAGTGCTGGGATTACAGGCGTGAGCCACCACGCCCGGCTGTTTTATTTATTTCTGATTCGTATTTGATCTAGTTACTTTGCCTAAGAAGTATAACACAGTGTATGAAAAGGAGCCTGAAATATTTTGTGGACCAATTGAAATTTTGTAGGGGTAAGAGTTAAATAAAACTCAGACTGTATATATGATGCCAGGCAAAAACACGAAAAACTAAGCTGTAAGAACATCAGAGAAATATAGGGGCATAGGGTGTTTACATACAGACACAGGCACACAGACACACACAATGACATATTAGTACATTGTCTGCAAAAATACCCCAGCATACTCTTACTTTGCCAGCTCTGATATTAAAAATTTTAAATTTCAATTTGCATGTAGAAGTTAAACATTTAATGCAAATGTATTTTGAAGAATAAAATGTTAATTTTGAAATATTCTGAAGATACTTTAGCTCTCAAATACTTATTTGAACTTATTCAAATTTATTCAAATAAAATTCAGATTTTATTCTATTAAGAATAAGATGCTTATTCTAATAGATTATGGCAAACAATGTCACTAGGAGATCAGGTGTTGCTGAATGATAACTGATAGTAGGACTTAACCTGTCAGTGCTCTTACCTTTTGAGACTCAGTGTTTAGTTATATCCCTACTTAAAGTAGTATGCTTCTTTATGAATGTTTAGATGGTACCTCTCTTGAAAGGATCATGAAAACCTTAACTCATTTTTTTGTATCATAAAATGACACCCAGAGGGCTTGTAACCTGCTGAAGATTTAGTGACTAATTTTATATCAGAGTTGGTATTTGTGTTAAGTCTTTTGGGCTTTTAGTTAGTGCTGTTTTTCACTCTAATACATTTCTTCAGTGTTAGCAATGGAGTAGCCCTAGGTTATAGGGTATCCAATTGTTTCGGAACCATGTAATAATTTCCAGTTGTTCTGAAACCATCCAGCAGAAACCACCTAATACCTCCATTCAAAAAATATTTTATTTGGTAACGTATGATGTGTCATTTGATTTTCTCCTCTTTGTTTTAACTTGAATGGTTTTAAAAAATATGTGAAGGGGAATTATATTTTATGAGAGAAAAAAAGCAATTTGAAAAGGATATTAGTATTTTAGATTTATTTAAAAACCTAGTATTTAGATTTATTTATTAGTATTTTATATTTATTTATTTAAATGTTGTTTTATTTCAATTTCAAATACTAATGAATGACCAGTGTTGACAATGTTTTATATATGTATATATGATTGATTTTTGGTTCTTCCATGTTTTTCTATTGAGAATTTATTAATTGAATGAGAAGTAGAGTGGGAAAATGAGAATCTCAGTTCTGGACTTAGCTGTGTGTCTTTGAGTAAGTCAATTAACTTCTCTGGGCCTAGGTGACTAATCTTCAAAGTGGAGAATTAAGTCAGTATTTCACAGTGGGTGTGCTTCTGGTATTTGGGTTGGATAACTCTTCATTACAAAGGACTCTATTGTGCATTGTAGAAAGTTTAGAATCCTTAATGAGGATGGTAGAATTTCCCAGTCATTGTTATATCCAAAACAACCCTGCATATGTAAACCTCTTCTGGGGGAGGGACCACTTCATGTTGAGAACTACTAGCAAATGGTCTCTAAGAATTCTTTCAGCTTCAACATTCTGTGAAAGAATTCTTATTCAGGGAATGATTGAAAGGGAAGAAGGTAATACATCATACACTGAAAAGACTCTACTGCTTTCTAGATATGGAACAATTTTATTTTAAAATGAGTATCTTTTGCGAATCTGTGTAGACTATTCACAGAGCTACCACTTCTGATGTTCCAAGATAAATTATTTTATTCTAGCTTGTCTTAGGCTTTCTCTCTACAGTATCATCCATAGCTATATGATTTTTTTAAACGAAAAGTTATATACTACTATCTCTATAAGTAAAAGCACAAAATTTATTTATTTATTTTTCTTAAAGACGGGGTTTTACCATGTTGGCCAGGCTGGTCTCAAACTCCTGACCTTGTGATCCACCCACCTTGGCCTCCCAAAGTGCTGGGATTATAGGCGTGAGCCACTGCGCCCAGCCAAAGCACAAGATTTTTTTGAAGTTGTACTGTTGTTTTAATATCTTAGCCTTTAAAAAAGGAATATCATTCTATATAGTAATTATTTTCTTTTTCTTCTATAGGTATAAAAGAAGGAAAGGAATATAATTTTACTAGTATATATAATTGTTAAAGTACACAGTTATATGTGTAAGATCACAGATCAGTAGTATACCTGATTATCCTTTTAAAAAAAAACGACCATGAAATACAATTGTACTAAAAGGTACAGTTATTGTGGCTCTAGTATTTACTATTACTTAAGTCAGAGTTAAACAGTTAATGGGGATAGTACATTAATGTGGTTGTTAGTAAAGGTGATAATTAATTGAATACTATAGTTTTCTTCATGATTGCTACTGGCCAGCTCCTGTCCTCTACTGTTATACCACTGGCCCCCACCAGTCTGGAATTCATTTGTTGCTTCTAGTTAACAGGTTGCAGTGAAGTCCCAGGTCGCATGATAAGTTCCCTGGAAGGTTAACAAGGTGACAGTTCTAGTTCTTTTATTTACTTAATTATTTGATTTAAAAAGTCGATAGTTTTAGGGGTACAAGTAGTTTTTGGTTACCTGGATAAATTGTATAGTGATGAAGTCTGGGCTTTTGGTTTACCCATCACCTGAATAGTGTACGTTGTACGCAATAGGTAATTTTTTTGTCCTTCACCTTTCTCCTGACCTCTTTCATTTTAAGTCTCCAATTTCTATTACGATATTTGTTTTTATAAAATTTAAGTAGAAATTTCTTTTCTACATAATGCATATGTTGCAGTAATTACTTTTAAATGCTAAATTAAATTACAAGATTATACTCAAACGCCTTTATGGGTTTTACATAAGACATACATATTTAGAAATAATTAAAAAGTCCTTTTACAATTAAAATTTCTATTTAAAAAGACTGGTTAATTAAAATCTACTAAATTAAAAGTTATGCTCGTTGCTATTTCTAAAGAGCTTAACTTGAGAAAGCTTAACATTCATTTTTCAGTTTTGAATGTCAATTTTTATAACTATATAACTTGGCCATATGAATTTGTTTCTTTTTGAAAAAACACTGCTGTGTTGCTTTGTAAACCACTTTTGGTACATGTTGGATGCTTTGGCATTTGATTTGCTTAAATTATTTTGCTTACAGCATGGTTTGCATTTTAAGTTTGTGTGTTCTTTAATATGTTGTATATTTATTGTAAATTTTACCTTACCCATTTGAACTTTTGGTTCTATTAAAGGACTAAGCAGTTATTCATAATG